ACAATTCCCCCCACACATCCCCCAACCACACCCCCAACCCCAAATATAATCCACTCTGCAACCCTCATTCCGTACTCTTAACGATAAACATAAAAATATGGAACGCTTCACGAATTTGCGTGTCACCCTTGCGCGGGGGCCATGCTAATCTTCTCTGTGTTGTTCCAATTTTAGTATATGTGCTGCCTAAGCGGGCACTCTCTAATTGCTCTTGAGTTAGAACCAGGTAACTGAAAAGATCAACTGCAGCTTCTTACCACTATGCCACAAGGACTCCCTTGGTGGTCTGCCTACTGGTAAGGAACTGTTCTGTTAAATCAAAGGCATATGATTCAAATCCACCAGCAACTCCATGGGAGAAAGATGCACAACCTCATCTCCTGTGTTTTACAGCCTCTGAAATCTGCTTCAGGTCAGCTGTGAGTTTGTATGGCACACAACAAAATAACAACATAAATAATATACCTAAATTTCAGTACGTTCAATAAATATTTTAATTCTTGCAAATAAGGAACTACAATGAGTTTTATATAATGATCTTATATCTTTTTTTTTTGCTTCAGTTCAATGAAAGAGACTTTATTGAGGGCCCAGGGTCATGGGGCTCAGAAGAAGGCCACCTGCAAGAGGCAAGGGAGGCAGTGAAGAGGGGGCTCTTATTTGACCTTCTTCTTGGGGCGCAGGTTGTTGGTGTGCCCACACTTCTTCTTGCGGCAATTGACAGCACGGGGATGCAGGCGAGCATAACACTTGCGGCAGATCATCTTGTCGCAGTTGTATTTCTGGGCGAGGTGGTGCAAGGAAGGCTCAATAATGCCACCACGGAGACACAGCACCAGATGTAGGGTGGACTATTTCTGCATGTTGTAGTCTGAGGGTGTACGGCCATCCTCTAGTTGTTTTCCAGCAAATATCAAACGCTGCTGGTCAGGAGGGATGCCCTCCTTGTCTTGGATTTTGGCTTTGACATTCTTGATGGTGTCACTGGGCTCGACCTCAAGAGTGATGGTCTTGCCAGTCAGGGTCTCCACAAAGATCTGCATATTTGCGTCTGCCGCTCGGCCGCCTCGCTGATCTTTTATCTTGCAAACTTTCTGAACTCACTTTTTAACTAAAATTTTTTCTTGGGGTTTTTGTTTGTTTTTTTTTTTTAGTAAATTCTTAGGATTTTCTATATATAACATCATCTCATCTGCAAATAGCATTAGTTTTACTTCTTTCTTTCTTTCTAATCTGGGTATATTTTATTTCTTTCTCTTGCTTAATGACTCTGTCTAGAACCTCCAGTATAATGATGGACCGTAACTTTAGTGCTGAGTATACAATGAATGGCCTTGCTCCCCAGAAGGTTATCTAGAGATTATTTACAATCATGTTGCATTAGAGAAGGCAGATAATTTCAATAAGCTATTGAAGCCTTAAACCTTAAACCACAAATATTCCCTAAAGCCTTCTTAAAACCAAATAACGTTAGCTTAACTAGTAAAGAATGTCAGCCTTGAACAATGTTCTTTTAAGATCTACCTGTAGGGGATCAGATTGACAATAACAACCTGAAAGACTAGCAAGAAAACTTGAAGAATGGAATCAGTGTCATTGAATAGTAGAAATTGTTGAATTGGTGGGTGTTTAGCTTTGTATATTCTTAATAAGAACAACAAAAATTATAAAAACAAACAAGAATAAGCTTTTGCTACATGATGCCACTGTTGTAGAATGGGACTGTCCTTGGGGTTGGGGAGAGACTGAGTAAGATGGGTTCAATAATGTATACTGCACTGAAACAGAGGAGGGAGAAAACTGTTTAAAAGAGATATATGACTAGGTATTTCTGTCATCACAGGAGTCTAGAGCGAGGGCTACATGGTGGAGGGGACCTGGGGGAGGGTTTGTAAAACAATGAAAGAATCTTTTCTTTTACTTTTCCATAATTTTTGACTCATGTACTTATAACTTGTTAGTCAAATTTGTGTCTTCTAGGTTGCAACACCCTCATGATACATCTTCAAGGATATGAACATGTACGGCCAAGCACAATCAATAAGAGTGCATCTAAATTCCAAAATCAATCTTCATAATAGTCTATGTGTTTCCTACTGCCAAAGGGGCCCTTTAGAGTAGTGAGAGAAGATCTTCACCCTGAAACCCACAGCATCCCTTTTCAGCAGAAAGTAGCCAAGAGAATACACCATCCCCTTTTCCTTATGAATCAGGGTGAAGTCTCTCTCAGGGAGGAGTGATAGGGAATGGCAAAGGACACACCGACAAAGGAGATTAATCAGAACTGACTTTGACAAGCACTGTGGCAATTGGACAATTAAAACAGACATTCGGATGGCGGGGAAGAAGAACAAACTGGGGAGGAGGGTGGAGAGAATGGTGCGGCAATGAAGGAGTGAAAGCCCAGAATCCCTGTGAGTGTTCATTGAAACTAATAAAATTTAATAATAATTTTTAAAAAGCTGAAAAAAAAGAATAAGCTTTTGCAGTGCAGTAAAATAAGGCCTGTGATAAGAGAAAATGAAGTGTGCAGAAATTAGAGTCATTTGGCTTTGTTATTTCTGTCTAGTAAAGGCTGCTCAAAGAAAGTGACAAATATAATCCTAAAAGGAGAGTAGAAGAGGTTGGGGAATAGTATGTATCTGTGGATATTTAGAAAGTTGAATTAGAAGTGAGTTGGGATGAAGGAAGAAATGAGAGGCTTAGTAAATTACTAATGGATTGAAGCTTAGACTCTATATTCTGTAATGAAGACTCATTAAAAACTTGTTGCTGTCCAGCTAGTTCTCACTTACAGTTCCCACGTTAATTCATGAGGAAGACTCTTGATGGGATGGATTGATTCAGTGACTGGGGTAATGGAGGTAGGTGTATCAGAGACAATAAGATTGGCACAGGATAGAGCAGGGTTCAGGGCTGTTGTACACAGGGTTGCTATGAGTTACAGACAACTTGATGGCACATAACAACAACAAAACCAACATGTGTTACTAGGTAGAACTGTATGTACACCAAGATTGCTTGTTTGATTTGTTATTCTATTCACAGTTATGGTATATGATAGCAAAAGACATGATCAAGATTAGCAAATGGGGAAGTGCATGGGATGACATACAGAAGAAACTAGATGTAAGCTCCCAGGTATCTAATGGATGAGTACTGAATTTCAGCAATGCAGCATTGTCTATGTATTGTCTCCTATATGTGGTTCTGATGGAATTGAGATATAAGGCAGTGAGAAATCATTTGTGGGTCATCAAAAGGAAATCACACTAGTTTCCTACTAGTGTTGCTTTCACATGTATCAGCGACTGCATCCCCTGCCTGAGTCCTCTCCCTTTTATCTGACCAAGTTTCATTCTTTGTTTTTGGGTCAACTCCAGTGCCATCTAGATTACTAATCTTTACTGCTAATCTTCTACATCACTAATACAACTCTTAGCCATGTTTGACATCTTGTCATTGGTTGTGGTTATGCCCATTTCCTCTACTAGCACAGTTGTTGTTGTGTGCCTTGGAGTTGGAACTGGCCCATAGATGATCCTCTAATGGGTTTTCAGAGACAGTCAATTGCACAGGAGGAGATGACCCATTCTGCTTCCACAGAGCAACTGGTGGATTCAAACCCTTATGCCTTTGGCATTACAATGTAACATCTCACCACTAGGCCACCAGAGCTTCCTACTTGTCTTATTTTTCTTAGAATAGTTCTAGTAAGGATAATTGACACTTAAATTACACACATATGCTTTAGATACAATCTAAATTGTATGATTAAGGTTGAGATTCAGCGTGGCTGCCTATGTTTCTCTGACTTGGCAATTCATAGAATCATTCCCTTGAAGAAATCTGCTACGAGCAGCCAATCAGATGAAAGGGGACTTCATGGGAGTGTGGTCTGCATGGCCTATAAGAGGACATCTAGCAAAATTCTCTTGCTTTTGCTCTGTTTGGCTCTTGCTTTGACTTAGCCTTTTGTTTTTTTTACCTCCGCCAGGGGTCTCCTTGACTGCGGATCCATCAATATCTGAAACCAATGGCCTGCCTTGCTTGCTGACCTTGTATTCATTAATCTCTGCAGATAAACAAGAACCTTTTCTCCTAGGTCTACCCATGGACCTGGGACTTGCCAGGCTCTACAAGCATGGGAACAATTTTCTTGCAATAAATAATCTCTCATTATAAATGTGTATTATTGCTTCTTTCTCTTGAGAATTCAGCCCAGGGCAGTAATTAATCCTCACAACAACAGTAGCATTGTATAACATTCTCCATTAGGAATTTTATGAGTTTCCTGTTGCTTTCTTCTTATTATTATTAACTATTTATTGTGATTTGAAAGTTGACAGAGCATATTATTATTCCATTCAACTATTCATACACATTTTGTTTTATGACATTAATTACAATCCTCATATTGTAACAGTATTCTTACCACTTCCTTCTGGATCATAGATTTTCTTGGTTGTGGTTTTTATAGAAGATCCCCATGCTTTTTTCAGTGCCACTTTGAACAACAGATTGAATTTACCCTACCTCTGCCATTCTCGTGATCTCTGCTATGCTCAAGCCCGTTGTTACAGTCACTGTGTCAATCCGTCTCCCTGAAGGTCCAGCTGACCTTCTACCTTTCCGAGGATGAGGGCTTTTTCCAAAGACAGGTCCTCTTCTGATAACATACTCAAAGAACATGAGATCAAGTTTCACCATCCTTGCCTCTAAGTAGCCCCCTGGTTGTACTTCCTACAAGATAGACTTATTTGTTCTTTTGGAAGTGTTCTTTTGGTTTATTGAATACTTTTCAAAGACATCACAATTCAAAGACATTTATTCTTCTTTGTTCTTTTTTATTCATTGTTCAACTTTTAGATGCGTGTTGTTATTGTTGTTAGGTGCCATTGAATAGGAACTACCATATAGCTGGCCCCTCAGCAGGTTTTAAGAGGCTATAAATCACATGGCAGAGATTGTTCATCTTTCTACTGTGGAGCAGCTGGTGGATTTGAACCAACTTTGAGGTGGCAGCAGAACTCCTTATCACTCGGCCATCAAAACTTTCTCTCAGATACATACTTGTTGTTGTTGTTGTTGTTGTTATGTGCCGTCGAGTCATTTGCAACTCATAGCCACCCTATGTACAACAGCCCTAAACTGTGCTCCGTCCTGTGCCAATCTCATTGCCTCTGACACACCCATCCTGATTACCCCAGTCACTGAATCAATCCACCTCATAGAGGGTCTTCCCCTCCTGCGCTGTCCCTCCATTCTGCCCAGCATGATGTCCCTCTCTAAAGACCTGTCTCTCCTTACAACATGTCCAAAGTATGTCAGGCGAAGCCCCAGAATCCTTGCCTCCAAGGAGCAGCCTGGTTTAACCCTCTCTAGGATGAATCTATTTGTTTTCTTGGCAGTCCATGGTACATCCAATACTCTTCTCCAGCACCACGGCTCAAAGGCGTCAATTCTCCTTCTATCCTCCCTAGTCATTGTCCAACTCTCTGATGCATGGCCTGTATCAGGCGCACCTTAGTCTCCAGAGAGACACCGTTGCTCTTGAGTACTTTAGAGAGGTCCTTAACGGCAGACTTTCACATCGCGATACGTTTTTTGATTTCCTGGCTACTGGTGCCAAGAGTGTTCACCATCCATCCTGATGCTACCGATTGGTCCAGTGGTGAGAATTTTTGTCTTCTGGACATTGAGCTTCAGTCCATATTGAAGGCTGCAGTCCTTGACCCTCTGCAGTAAGTGCATGAGGTCCTCCTCAGTTTCAGCGAGCAGGGTTGTGTCATCTGCATAACACAGATTGTTGATAGATCGTCCACTAATCCTAACGCCACGCTTCTCCTCATAGAGCCCAGCCTCTCGGATAATATGCTCTGCATACATGTTGAAAAGGTATGGAGACAGGACACATCCCTGGCATACACCCTTCCCAATTTTGAACCATGCAGTGTTGCCCTGCTCTGTTCTGACTACTGCCTCAGATACATACTTAGTAAATAAAAAATACTGTGGCTTGGATCAGGCCCATCTTAATCTTTAAAGTGATATTTTTGCTCTTTAAGACTTTGGTAAGGTAAATGGTCAATAA